CAGCCTGTTTCAGTGTGGGTTTTTGTCATTTGCCTGATATGTAGGAGTTGCTCATCCAATTTTTTAGTTTCTTTCAGAGGGAATTGTTCTATCTGTGGCTGTAAATTCAGTGTGCTCATGATAGGAGGTGAGTTCAGGATCCTTCCATGTTGCTGTCTTGAATTGATATATTCCACATACAGAAAGTGCAGAAGAACTAAAGAGCCTCTCAATGAAAGTGGAAGAGGAGAGTGAAAAAGTTGGCTTAAAACGAACATTCAGAAAACTAAGATCATGGCATCTGGTCCCATCACTTCATGGCAAATAAATGGGGAAACAGTGGAAACAGTGACAGACTTTATTTTGGGGGGCTCCAAAATCACTGCAGATGATGATTGCAGCCATGAAATTAAAAGATGCTTGCTCTTTGGAAGGAAAGTTATGACCAACCTAGACAGCATATTAANTGCTCCTTGGAAGGAAAGTTATGACCAACCTAGACAGCATATTAAAAAGCAGAGGCATTACTTTGCCAACAAAGGCCCATCTTGTCAAAGCTATGGTTTTTCCAATGGTCATGTATGGATGTGAGATTTGGACTGTGAAGAAAGCTGAGCACCGAAGAATTGATGCTTTTGGAGTGTGGTGTTGGAGAATACTCTTGAGAGTCCCTTGGACTGCCAGGAGATCCAACCAGTCCATCCTAATGGAAATCAGTCCTGAATATTCATTGGAAGGACTGATGCTGAAGCTCCAATCCTTTGGTCACCTGATGTGAAGAACTGACTCATTTGAAAAGACCCTGATGTTGGGAAAAATTTCGAAGTCAGGAGGAGAAGGGGACAATGGAGGATGGGATGGTTGGATGGCATCACTGACTCAATGGACAAGTTTGAGTAAGCTCCAGGAGTTGGTGATGGACAGGGAGACCTGGCATGCGGCAGTCCATGGGGTCGCAAAGAGTTGGACATGACTGAGAAACTGAACTGAACTGAAAAAAAAGAAAAAGAGTTGCCAGTGTTTAAAATTTGGTAGTTTTTTTTTTAATTTGGTAGATTTAAACATTGAAAAGCAGTAGCTGCAAAGGAGGAGACTAAGGTAGATAATCAGAGTAACAAATTGAGGTTGAGATAGAATTTAGGAGAGGAATTTAAGAAGTATTTTTTGTGACATTTAAGAAGGAAGAATAAAATGGCATAGTGGGTGATGGGGAACAACAGTCACATTGATATTGTTGAGAACCTAATTTATGAAATAGAAAAATAACTTTAGAAGTTCTATTAAAAGAGAAATCAGAATCATATGTTATGAAATTAGAGATAAGAGACTTGTTGGTGAGAGCTAAGAGAGCCAAAATCCTTGCCATAGTTAATTGAGAAAGAACACTTGGAACAGAGGGACAAAGAATAGTCAAATAGTAAGCCAGAGTTTCCCACATGTTCATATTTCAGTTGCTGGGCACAAATATTGAAAGGAGTGACATAACCTGGGTAAATTTCTGAAATCTAAACTTTTACAAAACCTCAGAATTCTCCCAAGTGTCAAAATAGAAGGAAGGAGGAAAAAAAGATTTCCTGAAAGGGAAAGAGACTCAGATTGGCACCATACTTTCAGTCTGCATCAGTAAATATTAGATGACATGGAGAAGTGTTTAAAATTTAGAGTTCCTGGGGGAATTAATTGTGATTATAAAATTCTGTATCCATTTGTACTGTAACTATTCATCGAATGCACTGAAGCATAAATAACTGGACAATAAGAACAGAAAAAATTTCAAAAATTCTTTTATTTCCCACATCTATGATATTGTGAAATAAAATTGGAATGTTACCTGAATTGCTTCCAGATATCTGTTATTGCTTGACTAATACTTTGAACTTTGTAGCAGAGCTGGGCACTTAAGCTAGTATAAATCACTTGCACAGAAGGACAGAGTGGACAAAGGGACCAGTCTGTAACCTGTATCCAAGCTGTGTGTGGCTGTACCAAATATCTGCTTAGGTATGGGAGGGAGGTGGAAATGTAAGTTCTTTAATTTCCTCATCAGTATAAAATCATGTGCCACATTTGGAGGATTAAAAAATTGTTTTGAAATACTGAAAACAACAAAAAGATACAAAGAACATTAGGACAGCATTGTGTCTACTTCCCAGTTAAAGAAATAAAATATTAACTACCCAGATGAATGTTCATTTTTCCCATATAGACATAACCAATTTTTTCCGTTTGGGGATTTTGGGAGGATGACAGCAATGGTAGAATAGTTTCTTAATCCTGTATGACTTTCCCATAAAAACAGAATGTATAGGAAAACCCCAGATCCATGAACATTGATGAGAAAATTAGTTGACCTTGTTTCTCTCTACAAAGCCTCACGTAGCAGTGGTTTGGGAATAGACCACCAAGAGCTTCAATACCTGTGTATTAATATCTACTTAAGAAGAAAGAAGCCATGGAATTTCAGATGTATGTGAGAATCAAAAAATAGCTGATCTCTGGAAAGTCTGGAGGATGATTTAAGAATACCAGCTGAAACTGGGAGGCGTTTTGCGCACACTGATAGGAAGAAATTAACAGTATTAAAAAATAAATAATAAATAATTACAAAGTGAAATCAATAAAATACAGATTTGATGCAAAAATCAATGTCATAGTCAATTGGGAAATTTGGTCAGAAAAAAGAACATAAAGGCAAAGAATTAGAAGTGAACAGTTTAGCTACATTAAGATTTTTAGTTGGCGTTTCAATGTCAAACTCTCAAAAATTTATAGAATGAATATACAGAGAAGTAGAAGCATATAGTAGACCTGAAAATCATGGTGAACCAATTCAACATAATAAAGATTTATACAGTTTTGACACAACGCAAATTCCTATTCAAGTTCCCATAGGCTGTAAACTAGGAGACACTGAAACATATCCAGGAACGTAAAACAAGGTTCAAAAATTTTGTGGTCTAAAGGTATTGAATAGAGATAGTAAAGGACAGGGAAGCCTGGTGTGCTGCAGCCCATGGGGTCACAGAGTCAGAAATGACTTAGTGACTAAACAACAAAGGTATTGAAATCATACAGTCTATTCCCTTATCATTGTGGAATTATGTTAGAAATCAATATCAAAAGATATATGAAAATAACACCTATTTTCAAGTGCAGAGTGACATTTACCAAGAGAAATTTTTGACTTAGCCATCGAAAACCATCAAGTTTTAAATTTGACCCACTTCATACACTCAACATTACTGTTCTCCATCATAGGGGACCTTTCTGGACAACAGGAATGGGCCCTTAACGTTTTCTGCCTTCTGATTGGATATGGAAATGGGGAGCCTAGTTGGGCCTTGGGGACTAAAGTCTGGGTATATTCTCCCCTGACTTGACTTCCTATGTGTACGTGCTGGTTCTCCCTGAAAATCCTCATCCTTCTCTTGGAGCTTGTGGGTGATAGGAGCTGCTGTGTTGTTACTAGCCTGGGTTATTCCACTATCTTTTGTGATCCCCCTCATCCAAAACTTTGTAAATAGTCTGCTTGTAAATAAATTGTCCTTAAATTAATCTAACTTGAGTGGGCCATCTGTTTCCTGAAAACCCTTTCTGATACAGTAGATGAGCTTAGGGTTTTTGCCTTTGTAGAAAGTAAGAAATTAGAAGATGTACTGGTTTTGATTAAGAAGAAATACAGTACAGAAAAAATACTGTTACAGAAAAACATGAATTATCAACTTGAAAAAATAGCAAATTTTTCAAATTATGTATTATATAAAAATGTATAATAGGGACAATGGGTTTATATATATTTGATAATTTACTGTTCATTAGTATTGTGTCTGTTAAATTTCCTCAGTGAGATCATTGTAGTGTGATTATATAGAAGAATGCTGTTTTCTTAGAGCTATGCCACAATATTTAGGGATGAAATGTCATGACATATTAACTAACACAAAAGAGACAGCAAAAGAAAAAAGTATGTGCATGTGTAAGAGACATAAAGCAAATATGTCAAAATGTTAATAATTGGTTAAGATATAGGGTACCTTTGTTAAGCTATATGGGTATTCACTTACTATTCTTGCAACTCTTGTGGCTTTGAAATTTTCAAAATAAAAAGTTAAGGGAAAGTATTCAGCATGATAAAAGATAAATACTTAAATGGATAAAGATCTTTAAACTAATGAGAAACATAATATACCAGCATTTGAACAAGCAGATCACCAAAGGAGATATACAAAAGGTCCTTAAACAAAGTGATACTTGACTGAATAAAGAAATGCAAATATAAGTGAACTGTCAGTGTTTATCCAAAAAAAGTATTTAAGATTCAAAAAAGTGGTAATGCCCAGTGCTGATCTGGATGTAGCAGATTGAATATGAAGCACAGCGTGGTGCCTCCTATCTTGTAGTGTGTAGTCTGGCAGTATCTGTGAAAGTATAAAATCTGTATGTTCTTTAATCACAGCAGTTTCACTTAATGAACTAAATAAGTCTAATGAAACAATGAGTGAGTATGGTTGTATGTACAAATCCTGTTCATTGCAACATTGTAGCAAGGCCCATTTATATGTCCATCAATTAGGGTTTGGTTTTACATGCAGAATACTATTTAATTATTAAAGAAATTAATATATTGATATTGAATGATATCCCTGATTGTTACAATAAAAATAAAAGTGAGTTAGAGAAAAATACACATAATACTACCTCATTTAGAGTAAAATATCTACATGTTACGGGCATAATTTATGTATACCAATATTATATGGATTTTGAAAATACCTTACACACACACACACACACACACACACACACATACACCAATATTATATGGTCGGGAGAGTATCAGAAGAGGTGGGAAAATTATGGGCAAGTGGGACTTTTATATTCCCTTTTTTTGAATTACAGATTTTATTTTGTACTAGCATTGATATTCTTTTTGTACTTTTTTATTTTAAAGAAATAAAGATCGTATAATCGAAAATACAACTAATTTTATTTCATTTTAAAAGACCTTGCAATAATTTTTTAAATTATATAGTATAGTCTTACTGAGTTGCAAAAAATCTGTTAAGAAACTCATTTTGCTTTTGTGTATTCCATTTTCAGAGCAGTGGAAAGAGCTCAGTGCTAGAAAGCCTAGTGGGGAGGGACCTGCTTCCCAGAGGCACTGGTATTGTCACCCGGAGACCTCTCATTCTGCAGCTAGTCCATGTTTCACCTGAAGATAAACGAAAAACAACAGGAGAAGAAAATGGTAAATTTTAGAATTGGAATAAAAATTATTTAAAAATTCTTCATTTTTGGTCAATCTTAAGAAGATATGAGTTATATCTTAGTTACATATTAGACAGAAATTAGTGGCTGTAGCGAAGTCAGAAGTCCTGTAAAGAAAGTGATATACGTCTTTTCTCATGGGAAAAGGGAGTAATTTTTTTTTGTTTTTGAGGACTGTTTTTTCTTTTTTGAAAGAATCTTTTTGGTAATGTAGTTCAGTAAATTTGTTAACACTATTTAGTGGAGGATCTAGTGAGATACTTAGTAAACAAGAATCAATTATTTTTAAAAGTTTTTGTGTCTTTGGGAATGTTTTAAACTTTTCCTAGTGTTTAAAGCAATGTTTTTTTTTTTCACTTTGTTTTAGAATTTAAATATTTTATATTCTAGTTTAAAGATTTTATTTTAAATAAAATGATTCAGCTTTTCAGCATAACAGTGTTATCTCACCTTCACTTTTCTGTCTTGCCATGTGCCTGTGAATTTTGAATCTCTGGCCCTTCGATCCAAGATAAATATTATTTGTAGAAAGAGTTTTTTAAAAAAGATATTTTTGCCACACTGCACAGCATGTGCAATCTTATTTAGTTCCCTGACCAGGGATCCAGTGGATCCCTGCAGTGGAAGCATGGATTCTTTTTAACCATTGGACTGCCAGGAAAGTCCCTAATTATTATTATTATTTTTACTATGCTTATTTTGCTAAGACTTACCTATTGCAGTGGAAGCATGGAGTCCCCTGCAGTGGAATCATGGAGTCTTTTTAACCACTGGACTGCCAGGAAAGTCCCTAATTATTATTATTATTTTTACTATGCTTATTTTGCATAGTCCCCTGCAGTGGAAGCACGGAGTCTTTTTAACCACTGGACTGCCAGGAAAGTCCATAATTATTATTATTATTATTTTTACTGTGCTTATTTTGCTAAGACCTACTTATTGCATGTATTACTTTGATTTTTTAGATTCCTCCCTCACCCAAATAGTAAACGTGGAGTATCAGGATTAGAAGACATGCACCATCCTTTCTTCTTTAGTTACACTGAAAATATTTTAAGAAATGCTCTCTTTATCAACATATTTAAGTTTGCTTATTAAATGTGTGCCCTATTACATACTGTACCTTTACATTAGAGAAGTTTGGAATGTTTGATGAGAGTAATATATTTGATCTTCAGTGTTTGGCTCAGACTCTGTCTTATTTGTATGTTAGTTGCTCAGTCATGTCCAGCTCTTTGTGACCCTATAACCTGTAGCCCACCAGGCTCCTCTGTCTGTGGGATTCTCCCGGCAAGAATACTGAAGTGGGTTGCCATTCTCTTCAGGGAATTTTTCCAACCCAGGGATCGAACCCTGGTCTCCCATATTGCGGGCAGCTTCTTTTACCATCTGACCCATCAGGGAAGCCATCTGTCTTACTTACAAAAGTCTGTAAAATGTTCTAGTTGTTAAATTACATTTGCAACAGAGTACCATGGTTGTTTCTCATTCTGCGAGAGATCTGTTTTAAATGCAGTTTCATTGCTGCTGCTGCTGCTGCTAAATTGCTTCAGTCGTGTCTGACTCTGTGCGACCCCATAGACAGCAGCCCACCAGGCTCCTCTGTCCCTGGGATTCTCCAGGCAAGAATACTGGAGTAGGTTGCCATTTCCTTCTCCAGTGCATGAAAGTGAAAAGTGAAAGTGAAGTCGCTCAGTTGTGTCCGACTCTTTGCGACCCCATGGACTGTAGCCTACCAGGCCCCTCTGTCCATGGGATTTTCCAGGCAAGAGTGCTGGAGTGGGGTGCCATTGCCTTTTCCAGCAGCTTCATTAGTTTGATGCAATGAAGTGACTTTAATTTCTGTATCTGATCTTTTCTTCACTTACTGGGTGGTGAGAGATTGATTTTTATTTTAAAGGGATTTTTAAAAAGACATGTCATGAGCATCTACAAGGACTATAAAAAGTTAATCACTGAAGTAGATTAATGAAGTTGTAGATGTCACAAGTTACAAGTAATATTTTTGGATAGGATGCCAGAGGATATGTAAAAGTCATTTGATTATATTAGGTAGCTTCTTGGTATGTTATTTATCACTTTGCATTTCTGTAATATTTCTTTATTATTGAAATTCTGAACCTTGAATTTAATCATTTTGGGCTAATTTATGGTCCAATTTCAAATGTATACAATAATTATTAAAATATTTCAGTCTTGCTAACATTATCAAATTTACCAAATGCCTTAAATTGAAACTTCAAGTAACTGTATGATGATGTCTGTTTCTTTTAACTCTTAATTTTCTTCAGTCACTTTGGAAAGGGCAGATGATATCTTTTCTCTCAGAGTATGTGGGCAGTATTTCTAGAAAGGGTGTACATTTCACAACTGTAGAGGTGTCAGTTCTTGTTATCTGTTTGTATTGTTCACTTTGTTTCGTTGACGTCTCTCATTGGTGGTGGTAGGTCAGTAAATCTGCATATCTTTACCTATATATATTTATACATATATATTATTTTTTTCCCCAAGCTTAGTGCTTATTTTTTGTATTAAAAAACATAATACTTAAAATGACAACTCAGCCACCCAGAACACAAAATAGATTTTGTAAATTTTGAGTACTAAATATCATGTATCTTATTAATAATTAGGATAGTTCTTTCACTTATCATTAGAGCCTATTTATCCTCAGGATAAACGATTCTACCTTATCACAAATCACTCTATTCTAGAGGAAATTAGAAACAATGAAGCAGGAGATAGCCAGAAAAGTATGAACTACCTGGCAGCCTGGCAACCATAGAGGAGAATGGGGAGGAAAACAGGAGAATTTCAAAAAAGAAAAAATTAGTCTCTAACCATTTTGTATAGGGATTTGTAGTCTATACATAAATGGCTTTATTATGTAACAAAGACCTAAGTTACCATTAGTAGGTAAGTTTAAGGGCAGTGGATTCTAACATAACATGGATAGGTCCATTCAAAACTGGCTAAACTCTTACAAAATACTTACCATGTATAATTTAATTATCAGGAAGATTTATTTAACATGAGATCATTCTGCCAACTACATAATATAATTTAGGTGTCAATATATAGATTTATAGTATTTCTCATCTTGCTCCCCACTTCTGCCAATGTAAAAGAATTTTCTGATAAAATCTTATTAAAAACAAAAACTGTTTTCAAGTGGTTTAGTTTGAACTTTGAACTTTATGATTACTTTTCATGTATGTCCTCAGATCTCCTTTTAGACTATTTCCAAAGGTAGCATGCTGACGGAATGCCAAAACTATTTCTGTTAAATTTATTATATATTTCAAAGAAAATAAACCCCTATTAAGTTCAGTCTTAGCAATTAGGGTAAATACTTTAATATTTACTTTCAAGGTTTTATTACTTTCAAGATGCATTTGATATGTTTTGTAGATTTTTTTCATTAGGTAGTTTATCTTTTCCTGTAGTTATCAGATAGCAAATTTCTGAATAGTACATTAGTTTCAATCCACTTATATTAGAGTTAGAAACCAGAGGTGATAAAATTAATGTAATGGAAAATAAAAATAAATTATGACTCTCAATATACTTATTTATGCCATTTAAAATATTATATACATCCCTCTAATTATAACTAATTGTAATGGAAAATTTACAATTGTAAATTTGAAATAACTGAATGCATTTGGAATGTGCATTTGAAATGTGTTCAGGTTCTTGCACATTTGATTTTTTAGAAAGGTTTGAAATATTAGGGATAAGCACTAAACTTCTCACTCTGTGCTATTTCTCTTTGACTACAGACCCTGCTACATGGAAAAACTCAAGACACCTTTCTAAAGGTTTCCTTTATCCATTTGTTTTTGGCCCTTCTTTTCCCATTATGCCTGCATGTGTGCTTTTGTACTCTTACAGGCTGTGTGCATTTTTTTTTCTTCCATTTTTATTTGCTTATCCACATTGATTGATTGCAGGTGTTAGTGGTTCTTGTTACCTTTTGGCATTGCATCACAATGCAGGCTTTTTTTGGTGAATGTAATTTATTTTATTTTTATTTTTAAAAAACATGCTTGTGAAGCCAGATCTCTTCTATATGATAAGGTAAATTAAAAAAAAAAAAAACCCTTTGGTGTACAGTACTTGCCTCTGAGTTCTGTTCACTTAGATTATTCCAATCCTCCAGTGAGCCTTCTTGGAAGAAGTTACTAAGCTTCAAGTAGGTGAGCATTTTACTTGCAAAAAGGATCCAGTTTTGTTACCTTTATCCACCAAAGAAACTGCTCCACCTTTTCCTCTGTAAATATTTATTTGAATATCTTACAGTCATTTTAATTTTGATATCAGGTGGCTGATATGTGTTAATCATTAAGACATTTAAAACTGTGAATTTGACAAAAGCAGAATAGTTCTGCTTGGAGAAGGCAAAGTTAATTTTTCTACATTCTAGCTTGTCTGGAAAAATTAGAGCAAAACTTGCTCTCCATGTCCTGGGCCACTCAAAACAGTACTTACAATGAATAATTTTTTCCTTTTTTCAGCAAGTACAAGAGGAACAGACCTATTATTGGAAACTACTGGCGAGTAGCAATTCCATACAGTATACATGCCAGGTTCCCCCAACCTTTACCCCTTGCCGTTTCATTCCTTTCCTACCTTCAATTCCAAGGAAAAACATAATCTTGTTCTTAGGGGGAAAAAATCACCTTGAAAATGCATACAGAATACCTTCATGCTACTGAGAGCTCTTTAAAGTAACAGCAAATTGTGACTTTATGGGTTGCCAACAGTAAACTGAATTAAAATGAAAAATGAGAAAACAGAACAAAAAGTTAACTATTTTGTTGACATGTTGCAAATTTTTACCTTGAGTTATGTGTGTAAGTCTATAGTATATGCTTTTTGCATTGTTATTCAGTATGATTCGTAAGTATTCTTCTTTTAGCCATTAGCTTGAGTATTTTCATCAGATAAAATTGCTTTTATATGTGAGATATTTAAAAATAAAGTATACAGTATATGCATGGCTGAGTCCTTTTTCTGTTCACCTGAAAACATCACAACATTGTTAATTGGCTGTACCCTAATACAAAATAAAAAGTTCAAAAGAAAAAAAGAAAGGTCCCAGGTTGGATGAAAATGAACAATTAAATATAATCTAATACTTAATTGGCCATTGCTCTAAATTATACTAAATACTTGGATTCTTGGAATCCAATTCTTGGAGGATTCTTGGAAGAAACAGTTTTAACTGAACACATAATGAATTAGAAGGAGTTATTCATTTTATAGAATTATAGTGAGTCATTTAATATATGGGTTAAAGTCTTTTTAAAAATACACTTTATATCTATTTGCTCAAATAAAAAGTTTTAGATACCAAAAAAAAAAAAGTATACATATTTTATTATAATATGAGGAGAGGTGAACAGTTTTATTAGTTAAAAATCTAGATTTCAAATATAAGTTAACTTATAGTTCGTGGCAAAGTAGGAACAAATAATATTGTACTGTCTTTTTGAATTCCTAAGGTAATTTCCATAGTTTTCAATAAGTGAAGTTTCTCTCTTTCCAGGGGTTGAAGCAGAAGAATGGGGTAAATTTCTTCACACCAAAAATAAGGTAATTATAAAAGAACATGTTGAAGAACTAACATGTTGAAAATATTTTTCTTTTGGTACAGGTAACTGATAATTTAGTTTTCTTATGATTGGCAATGTAGCACTGTTATCACGTAAAATAAATCTTAGTAACATTTCTAACCGTAGTAGTTTATTTGGAAAACATTAAGTTGAGTCTTATTCTCTCTTAATTTGGAGACTCTTAACTGTTGCTCAAGCAGCTTTGAAAAACTCATATAAACTCTGACTTTGGCTCAGAATGATGTTTGTGTATATTAAAATTTGTTTACTAATTCTCTGAAGCAGATCCATATTATCAAAGCCCTCTTAGGAACTTTTAAAATCTTATTTTGTATACTTTTTTTTGTTTCAATAATTTTTAGCTTTACACAGATTTTGATGAAATTCGACAAGAAATTGAAAATGAAACAGAGAGGATTTCAGGAAATAATAAGGTAGGTATCTTTTTAGAGCTGGAAAGTATAACTATCAGTAAATTTATCATTAAGAGCATTCTGGTCTTTTAAACTAGTCTTTTAAACTAATGGTGTATTTTCTCAAATATATAGAAACTTCATATAAAACCACTTTTACTTCTTAGAGCTTTCATATACAAACAGGTATTTCATTTAGATGTTTATTCTTGATCTTGTATATATCACTTTATTATATAGCTTTTCAATTTAATACTTTCTACAGTGTTATTTTTTTCTGCTGGATTGGTTGTACTCTAACTCAAGAAGCAATATATAACTTACAAGATAGATTTATTTTGAAGAGCTCTTTGTCTTATCTGAGTAAGTCGAGATTTACTTATGAAAGCACAAAGAGGCAAAGCAAGGTTGTTTTTTTTTTTTCAATGAAAATGAAAAGTAATGTTAACAAGTGAATTGTTTTCTGAGATTCTGAGAATTTAAATTAGATGTCTCAGATACCATTATATGGTAAATGAGGCACATTTAAATGAGGTACTGTCACTGCCTTCTTTAAATGCTTCTATTTTCTCTACTTTCTTTATTCTTACTACCTTTCTGTTCGCTTCCCTTTGTGTTGTTACCTCCATTCTTGAATGGGTACATTTAATTGCACAACTGGGCCTGAGCTGAGTACTAATATTAAAAAAATATTTATTGAGTCCTTTTATCTGCTGGAGACCGTGTTGGAAAGGTTTTCCTGACCCAAAGGCACTTTTGGAGCCATGTTAATTTCTTTATGCCTATTCAAGATATTTATCTCTGTTTGAGTGATTAAGATTTATTATTGAACTCTGGGTAGGTTACCTTTTAGTTACTGCTGCCATAGTTCCCTGATTTGGATTACTTGTTACCTATGTCTCTGAATTCAAGAACCTCATAAATTTGGATAGTAATACATTGTTCTTTTGTTCAGCACTGAGTCTATTAAACATTTTTAAGAAATGTTATCTCTGAGAATCAGGAGAAAAGAATGTGAAATAACAGGAAATAAATTGTGTATATTAATAGTGTAAGGTTGGATAGGATTATAATCTATGGCAGGCTGCCTTGTTTTCTATATGTTTCATTAGGTTTTGATTATTGAAATGTTTTAGAGATTATGGTTTAATATTTAAAAGCATCTTAATGTATAATACTTGAAATGAGGTTTTACTTTAGCATTTTTATTTCATTGACATTTTAATGTGATTTTAATATAATATTTTACAATTTATTTTTAGGGAGTAAGCCCTGAACCAATTCATCTTAAGATTTTTTCACCCAATGTTGTCAATCTGACACTTGTGGATTTGCCAGGAATGACCAAGGTAAAAATAGTTGTGACTCAATATGGATGTGGTCATGTTTGTTTTTACTTGAACAAACAACATAGTTTTTCCTTAACCTCATATGGAATGATCAGCCTTTTTTTTTTTTTTGCAATTATCTTGATCTTTTAGCAGCATTTGACATAGTTGAGCCCTCCTTTCTCCTTGAAACACTTTTCTTTACTCAGCTTCCGGGACACCACACTCTAGAGGATTATTTCTGATCTTACCAGCCACTCCTTCTCAGTCTCTTTTGCTGATTACTTATCTTCTCAATGTCTAAACAGTGAGTATCCCATAGCTCAATTTTTGGACCTCTTGTCAAGGGGGTACACTTAACCTCTTGATGATTGCATCCAGTCTTATGATTTTAAATATGAGTATCTGTATTCTGACCACTTTCAAATATTTCCAGACTTACATATTCATCTTGTATGTCTACTTGATGTATACTTGTCTGAATTTAAAACATGATGTGTCTGATCCAAATGCCTGATCTGTCCCTCAACCTGACTTGGTCTTTCTATAGTCTCCCCCATCTCAATAAATGGCAACTCTGTTGTACCAGTTACTTAGCCAACAAGTTTGTAGTCATCCTTGACATTTCTTATCCTATACCATACTTTCCCTGTTAGCAAATCCTGTTAGCTTTCCTTAACTTAAAATACGGGCATACGTTGTGGTATTTCAAATTTAGTTCCAGACCATCCCAGTAAGTGAATATTGCAGTGAAGTGAGTATCACAGTAAAACAAATATACAAATTTTTTTGTTTATCCATTGCATATAAAAGTTATGTTTATACTATACAATTGACCCTTGAACAAGGGGTTTGAACTACATGGGTCTACTTATATGTGATATGTGAATTTTTTTCAATAAATATATTGGAAAATTTTTTGAAGATTTGTAACAATTTGAAAAAACTTGCAGACAACTGCATAGCCTAGAACAGCTGGAAAAGATTAATAAAAATTAATACACAAATTAGTGTAAAAAGTTAAAATTTATCAAAACCTATACCCACAGACATAGACTGTACATGGTGCTTTAAGTAGAAAGAAATGTAAACAGATGTGAAGATGCAGTATTTAATTATAACTGCATAAGGTTGGCTGTAGTACATACTGCACTAATGTAATAATTTCACAGCCACCTTCTATTCCTGTTGCACTGAGCTCAAGGTTGTTGAGTATCCCAAAATGTTGTGTGATGGAAATCATCTCTAAGTAGTTCATTGCTTCAGTAATTTGCATATCACAGTAAAATGTGATCTCTTGAGGTTCTTGCATGTTTTTCATCATGTTTAGTGTAATGCTGTAAAAACTTACCTAGAGCCAGATATCCTGGAGTCTGAAGTCAAGTGGGCCTTAGGAAGAAGCATCACTAAGAACAAAGCTAGTGGAGGTGATGGAATTCCAGTTGAGCTGTTTCAAATCCTAAAAGATGATGCTGTGAAAGTGCTGCACTCAATATGTCAGGGAATTTGGAAAACTCAGCAGTGGCCACAAGACTGGAAAAGGTCAGTTTCCATTCCAACCCCAAAGAAAGGCAGTGTCAAAGAATGCTCAAACTACCACACGATTGCACTCATCTCACATGCTAGTAAAGTAATGTTCAAAATTCTCCAAGCCAGGATTCAACAATACATGAACCATGAACTTCCAGATATTCAAGCTGGATTTAGAAAATGCAGAGGAACCAGAGATCAAATTGCCAACATCCATTGGATAATAGAAAAAAGCAAGAGAGTTCCAAAAAAAAATGTACTTCTGCTTTATTGACTATGCCAAAGCCTTTGACTGTGTGGATCACAACAAACTGTGGAAAATTCTTAAAGAGATGGGAATACCAGACCACCTTACCTGCCTCCTGAGAAATCTGTGTGTAGGTCAAGAAGCAACAGTGAGAACTAGACATGGAACAATGGACTGGTTCAAAATTGGGAAAGGAGTACGTCCAGGCTATATACTGTCACCCTGCTTATTTAATTTATATGCAGAGTATATCATGTGAAATGTTGGGCTGGATGAAGCACAAGCTGGAATCACGATTGCTGGGAGAAATATCAATAATCTCAGATATGCAGATGACACCACCCTTATGGCAGAAAGAGAAGAGGAACTGAAGAGCCTCTTGATGAAAGTGAAAGAGGGGAGTGAAAATGCAGGCTTAAAACTCAACATTCAAAAAACTAAGATTGTGGCTTCCAGTCCCATCACTTCATGGTAGATAGATGAGGAAACAATGGAAACAGTGACAGACTTTATTTTCTTGGGCTCCAAAATCACTGCAGATGGTGACTGCAGCCATGAAATTAAAAAATGCTTGTTCCTTGGAAGAAAAGCTCTGACCAACCTAGACAGCATATTAATAAGCATAGACATTACTTTGCCGACAAAGGTCCATCTAGTCAAAGCTATGATTTTTCCAGTAGTCGTGTATAGATGTGAGAGTTGGACTATAAGGAAAGCTGAGTGCTGAAGAACTGATTCTTTTGAACTGTGGTGTTGTAGAGAACTCTTGAGAGTCCCTTGGACTGCAAGGAGATTAAATCAGTCAATCCTAAAGGAAATCAGTCCTGAATATTCATTGGAAGGGCTGATGCTGAAGCTGAAACTCCAATACTTTGGCTACCTGATGCAAAGAACTGACTCCTTGGAAAAGACCATGATGCCGGGAAAGATTGAAGGCAGGAGGAGAAGGGGATGACAGAGGGTAAAATCATTGGATGCTATCACTGACTCGAAGGACGTAAGTTTGAGTAAGCTCTGGGAGTTGGTAATGGACAGGGAAGCCTGGGGTGCTGCAGTCCCTGGGGTCACAGCAAGTCGGACGTGACTGAATGACTGAACTGAACTGAGGTTCTTGCATTTTTTAATCATGTTTAGTGTAATACTGTATACTCTGAATAACACCATGAGACCCATATGAAGTGCCACTAGTGATGTTGGAAGTGCTCCCAACAAGCAGAGAGAAGTCATGACATTACAAGAAGTTAAAATGCTTGATGTACTCTTGTCTGTAGATTGAGGTCTCCAGCTGTGGTTGTCCACCATTTCAAGGTAAATGATTAAGCACTGGGGAAAAAAGAAGGAAATTCATGAAGGCAATGCTGCAGCTATGCCAGGAGGCATGAAAACCTTGCATTTTATGTTAAATGCCTTTTTATTGAAATTTCAGTTTTATCTGGGTACAGGATTTCTATAGGAAAAGCATATCTGTAGACTCTAACATGATTTGAGAAAAAACATATTCAATATATGACAACTTAAAGCAACAGGAAAGTGAATGATCTAAAGCTGGATTATATATTGCCAGCAAAGGATAGTTTGATAATTTTAGAAAGTTTTGCTTAAAAGAAGTCAAGTTAATAGGAGGCAGCAGATGAGTTCTCAGATGCCATTAAGAAAATCATTAAGGAGAAAGGATAGCTGCCTGAACAGGTTTTTAATGTTAATGCAGATGAAAGTGCCCTATTCTGGGGAAAAAAAATGCCAGAAAGGACATTTATTAGTAAGGAAGAGAAGTGAACACCAGAATTCAAGAAAGGAAGCCATAGGCTAGCTCTACTATTCCGAGCAAACGCAGGGGGTTTATGATTGGGACTGCCCTTATCTATAAAGCTGCTAACCCTCGATCCTTGAAGGCAAAAGATTAAACACCAGCTGCCAGTCTTTGGTTGCTCAACAAGAAGGCCTGGACACAGATAACCCTTTTTCTGGATTGGTTCCATCAATGCTTTGTCCCTGAAGTCAGGAAGTACCTTTCCAGTAATGGACTGACTTAAAGTTCTTTTGGTATTAGACAGTGCTCCAGGCCACAGGTGTTGAAGTGGTCTACTTGCCCCCAAACACAGTGTCCCTTATTCACCCTCTAAATCAGGGGGTCATATGGACCTTTAAGGCTCACTACATATGGAACTGTATGGAAAGGATTGTCATTCCTATGGAAGAGAACCCTGATAGAACAGCATGCAAGTCTGGAAAGGATTACACTATTGAAGATGTTGTTGTTAAAAAAGCCATGAAGCCTGAAATAATAAATTCCTGCTGGAGAAAGCTTTGTCCAGATGCTATGTATGACTTCAGGATTTACAACAGAGCCAATCAAGGAAATCATAAAAGCGACTATGGACACAACCAAAAGAGAAAAAGTGGGTTAGATGGGTGAAGGCTTTCAAGATATGGATCTCGTAGAAATCCAAGGGCTAAAGTAGACACTACGTGAGAGGAATTAACAGAGGGTAACTTGATGGAGATGAGTGCTTCTGAAACAGTGCCAGATGAGGGGGGTGCATGTGTGGTCAGTCACTTCAGTCGTGTCCAACTCTTTGTGACCTTATAGACTGTAGCCTACCAGGCTCCTTTGTCCATAGGATACTTCAGGCAAGGATACTGGAGTGGGTTTCCATTCCCTCTTCCAGGACACCTTGATTGAGGGATTGAACCAGTGTCTCCTGCATTGCAAGCAGATTCTTGACTGCTAAGCCACCTAGGAAGCCTAGATGGTGGGAAAGAAGATTTAAAAGAAACTGTATTGGAAAACATAACGACAGTAAGCACTTTGTGAGAAAAGTCACAGTTACTCAAGACTACTTTTGATTTGGTTGAAGAAGGAATGGAACCATACAGAAACATTTTTGGAGTGAAAAAACAAAAGTATCAGACAGAAATTATGATGTATTTCCATCAAGTTACACTGAGTGTGCCTACCTCTCCTGCCTCTCCTTCGGCCTCCTCCACTTCTGCCTTGCTACTCCTGAGACAGCAAGACCAACTCCTTCTTTTCTTCTTTTGTCTACTTGATGTGAAGACAAGGGTGATCCACTTCCACTTAACAAATAGCAAATAATCATGGGTTCTGTTGTATGTGTCTTCTTGTGAAATCTAGTAACTATATGGCAAGAATTGTATGTTTTTATGTCATCTTTATCATCATTGCCTGTGTACTCATTATGTAGAACATCATGTACAAGACTTGTATTGAAGTGAATAGCCTATCCTTACAAAGCATGTGCTTAGTCGCTCAGTTGTATCTGACTCTTTGCAACCCCATGGACTGTAGCCCGCCAGGCTCCTCTGTCCATGGGGATTCTCCAGGCAAGAATGCTAGAGTGGGTTGCCATGCCCTTCTCCAGGGGATCGTCCGAACCCAGGGATCAAACCAGGTCTCTTGCATTGCAGGTGGATTCTTTACTGTCTGAACCACCAGGAAAGCCCTACATAGGCATAATGGGAGTGATATTTAAATAAAATTAATAATGTGTTAGGTTTTCTTTTTTTTTNTAATATAAATTAATAATGCACTAGCTTTCTTAACTGTTATATAACTTTGCTTTCAAAGAGTCACATTACCATGCAGTGTCTCTCTCTCATAATTGGAGAGACTGCACATCAGCCTATCATCACAAGTAAGCTGCTTTTTTAAAAAAACAATGTAACAATGTTTCCAATACTGTATTATGAATATGACTGTAATACTGCATGCCATAAAAATTTTATAACTATTCATTCATTAGTGTAGATGCTAGGCTTCCATGAAGCAATTTCATTGATTACACTAAAGCAGTTATATTGCTGCTCCTTCATTACCAATGCATGAATCATCTTACCTGTAAATAAATATGAAATTCTTTTTCACATTCTCTTTTCATTTTTGACATTTATTCATAATATGTATAATGTCTACATCATTTTGTATCATAGGAGATGCATTAATTAGGTACAGACAGATAATGCAGCTTTCAAATAGATGACATACACTTATTGTATTGATAGAGTACAGTACTGTAAATGTATTTTCTCTTCCTTTCTTAATAACACTTTCTTTTCTCTAACTTACTTTATTGAAAGAGTGAGGTTTATAGTACATATAATATGCAAAATGTGTATTAATTAACTATGTTATCAGTAAGGCTTCCAGTCAACAGTAGGCTATTAGTAAAGTTTTTTGAGAGCCAAAAGTCATTTGTGGATTTTTGATGTTGTTCAAGGGTCAACTGTATTTATAAAGTACACACACACATAAACACACACCCACACACTTTATATTAGTCAGGATTCTCCATAGAAGCAGGATACATAGGAAGTGTGTATGCTTATTTATTGATTTATTTGACATGAGGAACTGGCTCACTCAATTATGGAGGCTGACAAGTCCTCAGATCTGCAGTCAG